CATTTCTGAAAGGAAAGACAGACAGTCCATTTTGTAAGCATTGCAACATTCAACTGGATACACGACGTCATTTGTTGTTAGACTGCATGTTTTATGAACCATTGAGAACAGAGTTATATCATGGTATAGCTATATACACAACTAGCCATTTCAATGAAGTGATTAAAAATGAAAAACTGTACAATACAATAAGTGCTTTCTTGATACATACAAACAGATTTTAACATAGACACTTGAAAAATACATGACTCACATACACCGCAATGCGAATATGCGAAGCGGATTAAAACCAAACAAACAAACAAACAAACATGTATGTTTCGGTACCGTGTGTCTTTACTTGTGTGGATAATAAATGAAACACTGTCGTGAAATATTTCAATTTGAGAAAAAACAAAAGATTTCCACAAACCTTCCTGAAATTATTTTGCTAATTTTCACATTCATTTGGTCTTGAATAGATGTGTTCATGCCTTATTATCCTTTAGCAAAACAGCAGATTTGTATTTGAATTATGTAACGGGTGTTCCATAAAGGATGGCACTGTTTGTATTTTGCGCTATTCCCTGTCAAGTTTGATTATTGAGATTTGAACTTTTTTCCAAAAGATAGGCTATTGAATTCTCTACATAATCATATGAAAAGAGTTCCTGTGAGATACGATCGTGAAATCTTATGCAGTTAACACTAATATACGCTGGAAAAGGTACCTTGTCAAACTGACTGTTGAGTTTTGTGAATTTTACACCGTTGTTCGGATGAATATGGACAGACTAAATACGCCATTTTGTAGCCTTTAAAAAACTCCATAAGACGAGCTGAAAAATTCTGATGCTAAAACCAACTCGCCTTTCTTTTCATTCTCCCTTTTTGGTATTTTCGAATTTGCTGTTGAATTTAGTGGAATCAAAACATAAAATCTTATGGTCAAGTCTTTTATTAATTTGAAGAAAAATGCCTTTTCAATCACCTTGAAAAGATCAAAGAGGTGGAAAGCTAAATTTCCATATAGAGAGAGCGCAAGACTGAAACCTTCATTTAGTCCAAGCAAGTTTTCAAGGAAAATGAGCATTAGTTCTTTATGATCTAACTCGAACGACTTGTTTTAAGCGCTATGAGAAAAAAACAGTCGACAACATAGAAAAACGTGCACGAGATTGACTTGGCGTCTTCATGGCCAGATGGAACACGATAACTAATTTTAGGAAAAAGGGCATTTGTAACGAGCATTGTGCTCTTCAGCGACATATTAGTGCTGGCTGCATAGAATTTCACGATTGTATTTTACAGGAACTCTTTTCATATAATTATGTATAGATTCAATGGACTATCTTTTGGAAAAAATGCTCAAGTCTCAATGACAGAGAAAAGCGCACAATACAAACCGTGCCATTCTGTATGGAGCAATCGTTATCTTCGAACTTCATTGATAAAATATTTCAAAAACAACTAAGCAGAAAGGCGTGAAGAAATATCATGTCTGATCATGGTCTGAGATAAAGACGGTGGAAAACTTTCAGTTATCACTGTATTCATTCCCTGAATAAAATACTGATGTTTTATACTTATTTACTGCTTATTTTTGTACAGGTGGAAAATACCGATTACTAACAGATTCAATTCAACTGATCTGATGCCTCATAATTCTTTTGTTAAAAGGAATCAAAAGCAAACCATTCAGATAATAGTTAATTCGACTGTGTTAACTGATTACAAGCACGTTTTAACTTCTTTTACTGTAGTACAAGACGGTTACCAGCTCTAGTAAAAAAGCTCTAGTATTCATCAACTTGTACCGTTTATGTTAAATGTTTATGCTACTGGTATAATACTTTCAATGGCGGCACGAAGTAAATCAAATTTGAGTCATGAGTCATACATTTCATCATTATGGACTCAAATTAAACTGAAATATGAACAACTATTATGCCCTTTGTTGATGATTCTGTGTTCACTACCTCAGCTACTAGTCGGTTTTATAATTTCCTGTAAATTATGGAATATTATTTGGCTTAGATATTTTATTATCGGACTTTACTTTTTCTCTTATCTACCTCAATCACTCACCTCTTTATTCAACCATCAACTGTCTACAGAGAAGCATTTCAACAGTCAAGATTGGGAGAATTATTTTCTAAATTCAGAAAGAATGACGCATAAACATACATCTACTTATCACTCACTTTGTTCTACATAATTTTTGCTTTTTGAATGAAATGTGCTTTTTTACTAGAGCTGGTAACCGTCTTGTACTACAGTAAAAGAAGTTAAAACGTGCTTGTAATCAGTTAACACAGTCGAATTAACTATTATCTGAATGGTTTGCTTTTGATTCCTTTTAACAAAAGAATTATGAGGCATCAGATTAGAATACAATGTTAATTCTTCTAAGTTTATTCGAGATTCTATAGATTTGAGGTTAACTTAAACTTGAAGCATCGCACATACGACCAATTCTTTCCTAAGTAAAATAGTTAACGTTAGATATGATGTTTTGAAATTATTTTTCTGTCAATAGGAAGAGGATTTTATAGTGTACATGAAAAGTTTCAAATATCGATGATCGAATTGCTAATTTAGGCTGTAGCTTAATGATTCTACTAATTTGAATGCACAAAAATGCGTTTAAAATACTCTAGGTCTATTATATGCCCATTACTCGTTGAAAATACTGTTTTTTTTCGCAGTTTTCACATATGTGGTAGATTATAGGATTTTGAACAACTTTGTCATTTAGTATAGCATCAAAATCGGCTTCTGAGAGACGGCGAAGATTTATTTCTGTTTATCCATGCCATTTACACGAGATTATCATAATTACCCCATGAAAAATAGCTGTGTTATCATAATTACCCCATGAAAAATAGCTGTGTTATCATAATTACCCCATGAAAAATAGCTGTGTTATCATAAGTACCCCAAAGAAGAAAAATGAAAAATATGACTATGTCTTTTACTTTTCGTAATTTCTAATTAACTAATTTAGGTTAAGTTCAAATGACTGCCAATTCATACGGGAGATAGAGCAGAAAATTCTCTACAAGATGGTATAATTTTTAGTCAGATTATTCCAAGTTTCCTGTTGAAATTAAATGGTTTAAGTTCATTCCAGCTATTTTGGCTGTAGTTATCATAATTACCCCATGAAAAATAGCTGTGTTATCACAATTATCCCAAATGGGGGAATTATGATAATTCTAAACCTATTCACTGGAAATTGATTAGAACTAATTAATGTTAATGAATTTTAGAAAAAAATTTACATCAGTAGATAGCTAAGAGTCAGCTCTATCTACCTGCGTAATACTGATTTTCTCCGGTGAAAAATGACTTAAATCTGCTCAAAATATCTGAAAAGTTTTAGGCGATTATCAGAATTACCCCATCTGACTCTATTTTGTTAAAACACGATGTTAGAAATAATTTCTATTATTGCTTGTATTATTGTTTTATGTTGGGTTTTGTATCGGTATTATATTCGTCCATGTCACATAGATATTCCCCACTTGACGGGTACATTACACCGGTATACATTTCTTATTGACACTTTTGAGCGTTCATATCTGTTATTATCCCAAAAATTTTTCTACGTCAAACCCATGTCCTCTACTCATTGTATTTCATGGTTCAGAACAAACAAATGCGACAAAGTTGTGGATATGAATTTGACCGTTTGGCTGATCAATATAAATTTATTGTTGCATATCCGAAAGGATACAAAAATCATTGGAACGATAATCGTTTGCAAGCACCGTATGAAGCACGACAGTTAAATATTGATGATAAAAAGTTCATTCAAAAATTGATTGAGAGCAGCAGAAGCCGAATATCGCTTTTGCTGTTGGGTATTCTAATGGGGGTCATTTCGTTTCTCGTTTAGCACTAGAAATGACAGAAAGATTCGCGGCATGTGCTGCTATATCAGCTAATTTACCGACCGATAGTAATACAGATGTACAACTAACCCATCAGCCCATTCCGATGCTAATTATGAACGGCACAAACGATAAGATAAATCCATACAATGGCGGAGAAGTGTCATTTTGGGGCTTTCGAAGTCGTGGTCAAGTACGATCATCCTGGTCAACGGCACAGTACTTTGCAGATCAATATGGATTACATTCTCTACGTGTGTCATCAAAATATCTGATGAATAACTGTCAGTCGACAACGTGGAATGACGATGGTAATAAATCGAAAATCGTCTTATGGACAGTACATAAGGGTGGACATGTGATTCCACAACCGAATTATAGAGCACCGCGTATTTTAGGCTTGACAGACACGAAATTTAAGGGATCAAAAGAAATATGGCAGTTTTTTCAATCACAGTTCGAAAAATAAACAGAAATCGTTTGTTTTCTTGTTAAGACGTTGATCTGTGGTCAAGGAGACATATGGAGTAATTCCTCAGAAATACATTTTATCAAAAGTTACCATATCTATTAAACCCCACAGTATGCAACGGTCATCGTTTGGCCAGGATGTTTCGATCAAGGCAATCTCAACAACGGCTCTTATCCAACAGAATATAATAAATATTGAAACTTCTTAGGATCCGTCTAAATCTAACTGGGATCTGCCCAACGACATGACAAGACGTCGGAACCCTATTGTTTATCAATGCTTTATAAACTACGATAATTTTTCGCACTGTAAGATACTTTAACATTATTCCGACTTTTAGCAACGTAAAGATGTCTAGTTAGTAAGATCGCCTCATGTATTTTAATGATTTAATATGATCTTTTCTATGCTGCATCATCTTTGCTTTGAGTAGTTAAAGCACTACCAATGTTAGACAAACCTGAGCTCTCTTAACATGATGAAATCATGGGTATGTTTCCAATACTTTTAAACTTTTAAAAAATATTTTAATGCACGGACAAAATTCCAGTTTGAATCGGTAAATATCACCAGTAAAAAATCAAACGTTTATCGGTCTCTTGACGGTCAACTGACAAATAGTTTTATTTTGTTTCTATGGCTTCTAAAACATGTTCCAATACAAGATCATGTTCACCTGTTCTAAATAAATAATCAATACTGATATTGTTGAAACTCAAAATTTTTATTCTGAAAATGAATCCGGTGAATGTAACGATAGATTGAAGTTACGTATTTCACTCATGGATTAGCTAACAGTCGCTAAATATACTAAAGGAATTTATCAGATTAATTCATGTGAAACAGAAACCACCCAACGTTATAATAATACTTGCAAATTTCATAAATTTGAACCTTCCCTTGTACCACTTAGTCTTACTGACGAAGGAAACCATCGTTTGTTTTTTAAAAGCCATCAAAGCATTGTTAATTTAACGTCCAAAAGCAGGAACACGAAGAGTGAAACTATAGATAAAATGAGATTATATTATGCGTAAAAAAAGTAGTGCAGGCTGTCAGTTTTTAAATAATTCAAGAACGAGATGTGATAGAGATTAACGCTTTTCGCCATTCAATACCCAACACTTTAGAGCTCCTTTTCATAACCAAAAACACTTGGAATTCTTTTAACAAACCGATTTTCTGAATTCAGACACCTGGTAAAAACTGAGTTGTACCAAAATTAATGTTTTGAGGCTATTTTCACGTACTATTATTTACAACTCGAACGGGTGCTACTCTTTATATTATCTATAAGGTATTCACAAAAAATTAATGGTTTCTCGAAAGGATTTCTGAAAAACTTTAGAGTAGTGTAGAATTGGAGGATTCAGTTAGGCTTCTGACTTAACCCTGAACTATTAGACTGTCCGACTATTTGCTTTTATTTTTTTCTATTTGCTATTGCTTTTATATGGAAGATTTCTCATATAGTAAATTAAACAGAATAATAATACTAAATATCAAAAGTACCGAGACACGCCTTTTTTGGAGTCAACGCGCGTTGAAAGAGAATTAATTTGAAAGGGTGACGCGTTCTGAAGCGTTGGTGTACTATAAACGCATCGAAACGCGACAGAGAAAACGGATGCGTTTGCCAACGCATTTGGCAGGACCATTATTTGGTGACCTAACGCGTTTGGTTGCGTGAGAGATAATACTAGGAGATCGAAAATTAACTGTGTTCAAAATAACAGTGCTACCCGTATCAGCAGGTTAATGAATTTCTAGAAGATTTTCATATTAGTAGATGGATGACTGTCACGACTATCTACCTGTTTAATATTGCTTTTCCTTGAAGAAAACTCGCTTGGTTATTCTGCCCATACAGTGGCGGTCAAAGCGTCTTCCTTTTGTTTTTAATTTTTAGATTTGAAGAACCGAAAGAGTTTATATCAGATGAGGTGTGTGTGAAAATTCCATTAGAATTCGTTCAAACTACGTCTCTGAAAAACCAAGACTTTAGAAAACCCAACAAAATCATGTCAAATAAAATGGAAACTTTTTATAAATAACTCATTCGTGTAGAGAAAATATGTCGGAACAAAACAGGACGTCGCCGAACTCTCCACGCTTTTTTCATCGAATTGCATTCAATTTCCAAAAGGTCCCTCCACGTCAAAATCCTCAGAACTGCTAGAAAAACAGCAAAAATGATAGTGAAAACGACCGAGGAGCCTTTCGTAAATTGAATGCAGTTAGATGAAAAACGCCCTGGAGAGTTCGGCGACGTCCTGTTTTGTTCAGACATATTTTCTCTACACGAATGAGTCATTTATAAAACGTTTCCATTTTATTTGACATGATTCTGTTGGGTTTTCTAACGTCTTGGTTTTTCAGAGACGTAGTTTGAACGAATTCTAATGGAATTTTCACACACACCTCATCTGATATAAACTCTTTCGGTTCTTCAAATCTTTTTTTACATTTGTTCTAGCTATTACGGTCGAGGAGAAAAATTAAAAACAAAAGGAGGACGCTCAATTTTGATCGCCACCGTAGGTAAATAAAATTTTGAGAGCCGTACATAATTTTCTCACAGTATTCTACAAATAATAAAATGATTTCATCTTTTTTCATTTCCTCGAACATTTTCTGAAGCCTCTCGTTTTCTCTTCTTTTGTGAAGTTCCTATTTCGTCTCGTGGAATTTCGCAAGTGTTGCATATATGTTTAGATAGATAATTGCAAAATAAGATATCTGCACGTAACAGAATAGTAATGGCACGTAACAGAATAGTAATGGCACGTAACAGAATAGTAATGGCTCGTAATGTAAAAACAGTCATCGCAATTGAGTTCTTGTTACGAGCGTTAGAAAATATGAACAACTGCTGTTCAATGGATGTTGAAGCTATTGCGCTACGAGAAGAACTCACAGCAAACTGGGATACTTAAAAAACTCAAAGTTAGGTGAATACTATTTGACAAAGGACCTCTTCATCAGTATAAAATCTTTCTTGATGATATCCCTCTGGCCAAAAATAACTAGACTCGGCATTAGGGGTATGACAGTTCCATATCAATTCCTATCATAGGAACTGTTGAAAAGTTCTTTTGAAAGGAGCTGATATGTTTGAACAGCGCTTTTGAAAGGAGCTGATATGTTCGAGCAGCTCACTAGTCGTCTAGACAAAGTTTAAACGTCCCGAATGTTCATTAGACGTCATATCAGCGAAGTCCTGCAATCATAAATAGAAGCATGTAAAATGGTCAATTTTTTATTCCTCAGATAAGTATGGTTAAAAAGTAAAATAAAAGAAGCATGATCTTTGTAAGAAAAGCAGACTAAAGAAAAGATTAAAGTTTAT